TGACTGCTATTCTCACTTTCATCCACTGCACTTCTGCTTTTGGGATGATTATCAAGTTCCTTGCCAATGTGTATGGCTTCTCGGTGCAGCGGTCAAGCTGTGGAGTCTGTTTTCTGCCAGTTATTTGTGTGCAGATTGTCTCTCTTCACAGACATAGATTGGCATCTGTGTCAAGGGCTTCTGGGGGAAAAATAACATACAGAGATCCTCAGCGTGTGAATAATTTCTTTTGATTTTAGTAAAACAGTTTAAATAATTAGCACACTATGACTGAATGTTTATCCAGGAGATTCAAATAAGTGTTCCTTTGTTTGGAAACCTGCCAATCTATCTCATAGCTGTGGATAGATTTATTAATGGCTGTGTTTTTCAAGGGTTAAGAGATGGAATGGGAAGGCTTAGGAAAGTCCATAATGAGCTGCTCCAGGACAACTGAGGCCACTTATTCTGAGATGGTAGACTATGTCCTAGACCTCTTGAACATCCAAAAGCTGTTCTCCCTCTCTCTCTTTGACACTACCCCTGACCCAAACTTTACTTTTACGAGCATGCAGGTAGAACTGTTTCAGTTCCCTGCACATAAAACGGTTGGTAATTTGACAGTAATGATTCTGACCATTCATGTACTTGTGGCTTCATAGGGAAAACTAATTTAGCTATTGGAAAATGTTTCACTTTGAAATTTTATGCTCCTGTATTTTGTCAGAAGGAGGCTTAATTGAGAGTTAGGAAGTAATAAATATCTTCCCCAGTCCTGTAATTTTGGAGAAAAAAATGATTGAAATTGATTTTACAGCTACCCCAGACTTTCAGTAAGCTATTGGGAAAACAGAACCTTGAAATGTTACCTAGCCTGATTTGCAGCTTCCCAACAAGCCTATTTTAATAAGCAGCTAATGATCATTTGAATACTATTATTTAAAGGAGTGCGTATTTAAAGAAGAAGATGGGTATTGCCTGGAGGTAAATTGAGGTTTGCTGTAGAAGCTATCATATTCCAGTGCTGCAGGAAAGATTTGCCTTGGTCATCTGATCAAAATGCCATTCTGTATTTTAATTCCTGTGAGAAGTTACAGATTATTTCTATAACTGTAGTTACATTATGACTATGTGTAGATATCTATTGTAGTAGTTATTATCTCCATAGATATATAGATTTAATTCCAGGTGAACTGAAAACTAGTTAAGTTTCTTCTATCCCCAAGGAAAAAGTGAGAAGCTAACAATAAGAGCTATGTTATGTGTTCAACTGCAGGAACTGTATGTGTAAATTGAATGTCTGTATATATGCACAGACGAATGCCTGCATTGCTAACGTGCAGAATTTTTTTTTTTTTTCTGAGTGAAGTACATAATTTTTGAAATTGGACATACATGGTGAAGAATAAAAATGCAGTGTTATTTTAAGATTCTTAGATGCCTAAAATTTTTAGATGCCTAAAAATGGCACTCTCTATAGTGTAGTTTCTAGGACTCAGCTCTAACCATTTGGCTGAATCAACTCATCCTTGTGTGCATTTTCATGAATTGTTAGATTAACAAAATGTGTGTTTAACAAAATATGTAGCTAGGTTAAACACACCAAATAGGATCCTACCTTGTTCCTTCATTTTTAGAGTTACTCGTGGTTAATTCAAGACATATCACCAATCCCACTGAGCTTTTGTATTCTATTATGCTTCATACCTGGTATGTCTATAACCAGTGTCTGAAAGATCCGTTTTCTGGGCTGCCTAGTTGATAAGACCTTACAGTGGCAGTTAAAAGAGGAGGCTGTGCTTCTTGCACAGGGTAGAAGGAGGGAAAATATTTTGGAGTCAGCAACTACTGGCAGTAGGAGCTGGTTTGCTACTAGAGTCATTACAATTCTTAAATATGTTGCTGTGAATTTTGCTGCAGGTTCCTGTTCTCCTTGGGGACTGCAGAACTAACAAGTTGTCTTACAGCAGTTAAATATTGCTAGCATGATTTGTTATGGTTTTGTCTTGTGGTTGCCTGACTTCCTTGAATTCAGTTAATACTATTCTCCTGAGGCTGTGCTGAGCTCCTCCTAGGTAAGATGCTGTAGGAACCTCACAGAAGGTGTGCTTTGGTGGAATGGAGGCTGTGGTATCTGGAAGTACAAACTTGGACTTTTTTTTTCTCTTGTCATAAAACAGATTTTATGAATGACCCTTCCTCCCTATTTGGTTTCTCTAGCATCTCATCCAAGGACAAAGTTTCATGTTTACATTCTCAGTAGGTGGAAAAAGTTGAGATCTGGCTGAAGCCAGAGGAAGCCTGTTTTCTTCCTAATGTGTTCAGGGCTTTTTTTTCTTCCTTTCCTAACCTGAAGACAGGTTAGAGAAGTGGTCTGTGAGCGTAGCCCCAGGCACTGGTGAAGATTAAAAACTTTTAGGACAGATTAAAAAAATGCATTTTTCTTGCTCAAGTGGGGAAAAGAGACTGAGAAGTTCCAATGACCTAGCATGAGAAATGAAGCATGTTACCTATGCTGGTAGACCTGGCTCAGGACTGACTGACTGGTCAGTCATAAGTGATGAGAAGTGAAGCTGTCTTCAGAAGAGTAGAATGACAGCAGAGGGTGAAGTCCCAGATGTGGCTGGAAAAACAAAAGGGATCATAAAGAAAAGATAGAGACTGAGGAGAACAGCAAGGGAAAAGTGAGAGAGTAGGTTGTTCACGGTAGTGCTTGTGTGAGTTAAGTTTCAGAACTGAGACTGGCAGAAGACTGTGACTCACAGTATGGTGATGTTCAGACGAAAACTGTGAGGTAGCTGAAGCAAAGTCTTTGCAGGGGGACAGTGACCATTAGGGAAGATTCTGGTAGTGTCTTGAGCAAGAAAATGGAGACTGAAGGATCAGATTGTATTTTAGACGACTTAGACAAGAAGCCAGAGATAAGAACTGGGAAAAGGACGGGCACTGGATGAGGTTGCAGAGGATCGTGCCAAAGATTGATATGCATGTGCTGTTTTGGAATGAATTGTGATTTCAGTTCAATCTTGAAGTTTGAACTTGACCACTGGGTCTAATTGTTAGTTGTCTTTGGTATTTTGGCTCATGCTGGTTTCCATCTCAAACTGTTATCCAGCAATTCTGGCCTCTTTACCTAGCCAATCCCAAACTAATGCTGTCCCTTGCGCACAGATCTGCCTTTTTGTTAGCTCAAGGATTGGTTGCTCCAAGATTGTATCATCTCACATCTACCCCAAAGGGTTTCCAGTCTTATCCCTGTTGCCCCTCAAGTTTTTCCTGGTATTTCCAAGAGGTGTTCCTCCATCCATGAAAAAAGAGACTGCTTTCAAGACCGTGGGGACTAAGTTTAGCCTGATTCCTACAGCAACACTGTTAATCCTCAAACACATATCGAACAGTTGTATTTAGAGATGGGGGTTGTTAATAAAGGTGATTTGGGAGTATTTGTGCTGAACAAATGTGCTTTTCTTTTGTTGTGACTTCAACAATTGAGGTTTTCTTGGCAAGCTGCTGTTGGGTAATAGCTAAGGTATCAACTACTTCTGTATGCTTTCATGTTTTAAAAGGGTTTGTGCTTGAAAGTGATGTTCTATTGTTGCATACCATGCCAGGCAGGGGTTCAGCACCTTGTTGCTGCTCTTTATCTTCCTACTAAGGGGAGGTTGTAATTAACAAGGTTGAGTTCACCATGTTGTGCTCTGAAGTTGATGGTATGAATCAAATCAGCTCTGTTCTCTTAAATAGAAGGAAATACAGATACACTGGGGGACTCTAGGTGGAAGAAATGAGAGAGAGATGGAGGGAGTTTTGCTTTCTGTATGAAAATACAACATACTCAATTTCAAGTTGTTGAATATTTCAGATTTGCGGCTTGTAACCTCTATTCCCTACTGCCAGAATTTAACAAAGTTGAATTCTAAGTGCCATGTAATAGACTACACAGGCCTCTGTGGACCTAGGAAAGGAATTGTTCTCTTATGTATTAAGCAGTATACAGATGTCAGGAGTCGGCTGTGATGGCAGATTACCCTGCTAAAGAACTGAAATACAGGGAAAAGTGCTGCGCCAGATGCAGTCTGGAGCAGAATTTTCTTCCAGAACAGAAACAGATTGAGAAATTTAAAACAAGTCCCCAAGGAGTGAGAATGTTTTCTGTTACCTTATGTTTTGCATTGTTTTCTTTGCAGACAACGAAGAATGAGAGGCTATTAATGGCTGGAACCACAGCAATCATTCTTCTCTTTACTGAATGTTTGGGAGATAAAATATATTTTGTTTTCTCTATATTATACCAGGCAGGCCCAGGTCTCACAAACGTTTATGTATGTGCTTATCTTACTTATCATGCATAGTGATCCTTGTCTTGGACATGCAGAAGAAGAAAGTAACTGGAAATCCAGTATAAATGTTAACCCTTCACAAGTTTAGATTAGGCGATAAAGGTATGCTTATCCTTAACATTTAGAAAATTCAGACAGCAGGTATGGCATTTGCTTCTGCAAACTGTGTACAGCTGTAATGTTCTCAAATTGCTGCACTCAGAGGTACTTTTAAAGCAAACTTTGCTCAGTAATCTGCTTCCTGTATTGCTCAGTATACTGTTGCCACTATTCAAATCAGTGATCCACATTAGCCAGCTTTCCTATTTTTCCTGTTTCGAAGGAAAAAGATTTTTTTTCTTGTTTTTTTTTCTTGTTTTTTTTTTTTGTTGTTTGTTTTCCTTTTGTTAGAAGCAAGGAAATGCTTTGTCAGGGACTACTGGGGTCCAAGTTGGTTGCTTTCTGGGAATGTGTGGTACTTTCACATATTAAATTGCTTCCGTGCAGACATTACCATCTGATACTTCTAATAGCTTTTCAGAAACAAAGAGGAGCAGAATCCAAATGACCTTTAGCAGGAAAACGTTGTTCCATTTTCCTTGTGGGTAAATATACTATCAATCTTAGATTTTAGAGACAGTCAATATCATAGCTGAAATAATTGATAATGGTTGTCCTGACCTTTTAACTCTTTACTTTAAGGCCTGTTGGAAACCCAGTCTTTACAGGAAGCAGATGATGATGTGGTCACTGACGTTGATTTCACCACTATGATTTCTGAAGAAGAAAAAGAGGAGTTAAAGATTGAGCTAGCCAAGGTAATGAATTTGAATTTCTGTGAGTGTTACTGTTTTTACATCATTAAAATGGAAGATATTAATTGTAGGATGAAGTACACATCATAAAGTTATTATCTTCTTTTTTAGTGAAATTATTTTAGGCTACAATAATGTGAAGCAATTAATTTCTTTAGATATTTTTTGAAGATTAAATATCTTTACTTGATGATTGTAGAGAGTAAGTTAAATATACCTTACCATCTTATTCAAGATGTGTCTTTCATTTATAAGCCTTCCTTTATACAGAATGAAACGTGTTCTTCTTACTAGATCTGTGATACTGTTGCTACCGTGGTTGTGAAACCTGGGAAAGATTCTTTGTGTGGTGCTCAGAGAAAAAGCTGGAGATGGTTACACATGAGACTGATGATGATGAGCGCCTCACATTTTTGTTTCCTTTGGCACTGTCGTGTTTGGAGAGGGTTATATTTTTGGTTTGCATTTGTTACTTGCTTAATTAAAGAACTTGATGTCATGACACCATAAAGAGGTTTAAAAATAATTCTTATTAACAAGGAGATGGGAGGAAAAAAGGTGTGAACCATGTGGTCTTTTTATTACAAAGATTAAAGAGATTGTCTAGATTTGGTCTACAGTGGGAAGGTGGATTCAGTTCTAGTTACTGCTGCTGAATACTGCAGAAACAAGTTAAATTTAAAAATGGATTATGAGAGAATGGGAAAAAGTGAGTATTTATTTTACATATGAGACAAATAACAAATCACAGCTGTATGAAGGGGGAGTTGATTTTGTCTAAATTGAAATAATGTAACAGAAATATTTAAATTAATATTAAGTTGTAATATTAAATACTCTGAGAAGTCACATTCTTAATGACTTTCAAGTCATTTACCTTTGGAGCTGATTTAGGATTTTCTATTAAACAGAAACCAGAAGATTGTTTTTTTTGTTTGATGTTTCATCAAGCCTTGTGTTTCTAAGTTGCTAGTTAATTTTTACTTCTTTGCTGATCCTGTCACTTCTGTAAGTAATAAGAAGGTAGCTGGAACTTCACATCTTCAGCTCATCACATAGGAGCTGGGATGTTCATCAGTGGGTCTTCATCAGAACAGAGGCAGTGGGCACACTGAAGCACTGGAGGTTCCCTCTGAACATCAGGAAACACTGTGAGTGTGGCTGAGCACTGCCACAAGTTACCCAGGGAGGCTGTGGAATTGCCATCCTTGGAGATACTCAAAAGCCATCTGGACATAGTCCTGAACAACTGGCTGTAGGTGTCCCTGCTTGGGCAGAGGGCTTGGACCAGATGACCTCCACAGGTCCCTTCCAACCTCAGCCATTCTGTGATCCTCTTTTCTGGTGAAAGGAACTTAAGAGGCAGATGGAAATAAGGAAGGGGAAAAAACTTCCTGCAACCATCTGAGAATGGTATGCCTCTCTCAAGAGAATTAAACTCAGCAGTTTCTGGGCAACTGTTCTGCTTGACGATTCCTGTGGGAGCAGAGAATTCTCAGTGGCTTATGTTAGAAATGCTTTAATTCATGTACCAACACACAAGTGAGAGATTGTCTTTCAAATATTATGATTTTGTCTGACCTTGAAGTTATTTTGTGAATTGCTCTCAGCAGTTTTCTGGCATACAGCTTACGCTTAGAACCAAAATAAAACGAATAATTATTGCAAGAAACGTTTAGAAAACTTCAATTTACAAAGAACAAAGTCTAAACTGAAAGAAGGCTTATGATTCTTAGAAGAGACTGTAAAAAACATGTCAGGCCTTGATTCCTTCAGAAGGAAATCTCTGTGGGAACTGGCTAATGTTTTCTTTTGAAAAGCTATTAGTCCTTACTTTCAAGTCTCCTCTTCTCCACTGCTGGTAGTTTTGTTTTCTTCCATGCCGTTATGTGTCTGGTAATACCTGGTTGAGCCTGTAGGAACAAGCACCTTTGTTACTGTTCTGAAAGGTTCAAATCTTCCTTAATACTGCAATTATTTAATAGCTGATATAATGGGGAGCTGTCATGAACACCTGTTGTGCATGTATTTAAACAGAAAATGTATGCTCCATCTCTGTTGTGTGTCTGCTGTTTATATTCTCTGTCTTTTTTCTCTTCCTCCTCTTCCACGGCTCGTAGTCTCTTTGTACTGAAAGCTTTTCAGAGTATGGGCTAACTGTTCTTGTATTTGTAGTCTGGCTAACACAGCAGGGCTCTGACCTTAATCAAGCCTTGGGATTTCTACAGTGCAGGTAAAAAAAGTAATTCCTCAGAAACTTCTATCAGTCATTTGAATTATGACTGATAGAAGTGAAAGTGGTCACTTCAGAATAATAGCAGGAAATTCTAGCCCAAAAACTTTATGTAAGGCCAGAAGCCTGTTAGCAGAACAGACTTGCTCTTCCCCAGCCCCCCTCTTCCTTCCTCAGTGTGAAGAGCATGTTACAATGACTCTTGAGTCATTATGGGGGCTGAGGTTTTGAGCTATCTCACTCACTGCTGTCAGTTGTCCTTCCATTATTCCCATCAAAGTAGTCATATACTCCTTGCTGTCTTCCCCCTCCCATACCTTCACAAAAGCAGCTAGCTATCTGGTTTGAGGTACAAGCTTGCTAGCTGATACACATATTCTAAATTCAGCTGTGTGTGCTGCTGCATATTTATTCCCAGTTTGAGGAAAGATGTGAGTAGCTTTTTCTGCAAACTTATGGCTAATTTTATTTATGAGTGTCCCTCATGTCTTTGGGTGCTGTTCACCCAAGGAAAAACTTACAAATCAACAGGTACTCAGCCTGGAGGTATAAAATTTGAGCTATATGATTTAGTGCAGAGATGAAGTGCCTGTTATTTTTTGTGCTATGTTATTCTGTTCACAGTTACAACTACTTTCTTTTTAGAGGCTTTTACAGCTACTTTCTTTTAAATATTAAGGTGCTCACATTTCCATATTTAATGCATTTTAGTGGATATATAATACTCAGCAATTCTGAAAAGGATAACATTTCAATACCAATCAGTAGTTTACTAAATATAATGGCTAATCAAAATGTAAGGGTCCCATGGATTGACTTCATGATTGCTGTAACTTTCTTCGTGTCTTTAAGCCCACAGAAAGGGAGAAGGGAACTTTGTTCCTATGTGGTTCATCTATATTCTTACAATTCTGTTGCACTTAGAAAGAAGGAAGTGTGAGGAGTAGAAACTTGTATTTCTGTTGACTTAAGCCCTAGTTTCATAATGGATTCTGCATTTGTAAGAATGTACTTTTCAAAAACGCTTAGGCAGGTGATGCCTAACTTCCATAGGAGTTAGGTGTGTAACCTGCCTAAATGCTTTTCAAGATCCTGCTATGAGCCCTAATACTTTCTACCTACCTCACAGTCTTCAATCACTGATGTCTGAGCACTTGAGGGAGGCTTTGTATCTACCACTATTTTAAAATTATGGGACTTGAGGAGGATTGTGGCACTTCAAAACTGCTCTCTGAAGAAAGATAATATATTGGTTTTAATGCAGTCAAAAATGTTCATACTTAGTGCCATTGGGCATATGGTTAATGTTTGCGTAGGGCTTTACAGCCTTAGGTGTCTATTACATGGAACAGATGGAAAGAAATTTTAATAGAAGCCATCAGATGTTTTCATATCCAGGTACCTAATGATCAGCCTAGTGCTAGCTCATATGGAAAGCATTATTGTTTATGTACATGTAAGGATACTGGTATTGGTTAAGGAAGGAACTTAATTCCTTAAGTTAATTTATTGGACTTAATTCCTTTATTTTAATTAATTAATTCATTTATTTTAATTTATTAGACTTAAAGAACTAAGTTCTTTAGCAGTGTTGCTCAGGCAGACTTGTGCACAAACTGGTTTGCTGTGGGTGGGAAACAGCTAAAGGGAGCTCTGAACTGCTGCCTGAGGAGTGATGATATCTGTGATTTCTTCTTTCTGTAAGCATTTAAGCAGCTATCCTCTCAGAAGACAAATTCACATTGACTCTCATTTGCAGGTTGGGAATATAATGGAGCATAAAGGACAGGAGGAGGAATAAAGCAATTTTGGCTTGTTATGTATCCTACATAGAGAAGAGATTCAGAGCAGCCCTGTGGAGAAGGACTTGGGGGTGTTGGTTGATGAGAAACTTAACACCAGCTGACAGTGTGCGCTTGCAGCCCAGAAAGGCTGGGCTGCATCAAAAGGAGCGTGACCAGCAGGTCGAAGGAGGTGATCCTGCCCCTCTACTCTGCTCTTGTGAGACCTCACCTGGAGTATTGTGTGCGGTTCTGGTGTGCTCAACATAAGAAGGACGTGGAACTGTTGGAACAAGTCCAGAGGAGGGCCACGAGGATGATCAGGGGACTGGAGCACCTCCCATATGAAGATAGGCTGAGGAAGTTGGGGCTGTTCAGCCTGGAGAAGAGAAGGCTGCGTGGAGACCTCATAGCAGCCTTCCAGTATCTGAAGGGGACCTATAGGGATGCTGGAGAGGGACTCTTCATTAGGGACTGTAGTGATAGGACAAGGGGTAACGGATTTAAACTTAAATAGGGAAAATTTAGATTGGATATGAGGAAGAAATTCTTTCCTGTTAGGGTGGTGAGGCACTGGAATAGGTTGCCCAGGGAGGTTGTGAATGCTCCATCCCTGGTGGGTGTTCAAGGCCAGTTTGGACAGAGCCTTGGGTGGCATAGTTTAGCGTGAGGTGTCTCTGCCCATGGCAGGGGGGTTGGAACTAGATGATCTTAAGGTCCTTTCCAACCCTAACTATTCTATGATTCTACTGGGGAAGTGTTGGCATCACAGGCATTGGTGAAACTGATGCCTTCTACTTCATTTGTGTTCATAATGTTGCTGCTTAATTCCTGAGCTGCTTTAATATTTTAGATAGCAGGTAGTGACAAAACAGAAGGTGATAGGTGGGGAATTCAAGTGTGAGACCTTTCCAAGAACAACGAGCTTGCAGCCAGTTTTATAGAGAGGCAAAAGGCCTAAGTGTGTAAAGATGATGCTAGTGTTGACGTCCTAAATATAGCCCTGGAGGTCAGCAACTGATTCAGCTGGTGCTTGCCTCATTCCCTGCAGCCTATGGAGTTAAGTCACAGGAGACTGTGGTTCCAGGGAGTTTAACATATGGTAACCAGATACATTGCCATATGTTATTCTAATAACATATGGAGGAAGGAACACAGTTGGTAGGGGAATTTCTAAACCTGAAGTGAAAGGCAGCTGGTCTGCTGCCACTTGCCTTGTTAGCTTCAGTACCTTTGTGTGCTGCTAGTATAATTGGCTTGTGAGGCTTCAGGATGAAGAATGCTCACCATGAGGTCTCTACCCATGCTCACTAGAGGGCTGCCCAAGGGGGAGAATCCTGAGCCAGTAGCAGGCCGATTCCATGTTCCTTCTTCTCAGTCAAGTTTTCTGATCCTTGTCTTGCTAAAATACTGTCTTGATTTAAATGTTTCAGGTAATGTTCACTGCTGGGAGAGTTATATCCCTCTGTTTGGGCTGAATGGCATCTTTGCAACTTGAATTTGCATGGTGTGGTTAAGGACTAGGAGCTCTGAAAAGACTAATCTGCTGTATTCTGAATGCTTCTATGCTTAGAGCAGGGCCTTTTCACTCATGTTAATAATCCATCTGCTATTTATTTTTATGTTACCGTTGGACCTAAAATATGTACATAAAAATGCATATGACACGAGTGGAACACTGAAAAACTGCAAATACAAAGTTAAAAGCCTGTGCTTTCAAGGAGAGATATTTGACTGAATTATCAAGTCTTCTCCTGTTCTGCCTGTTCCCATTTTACTAATGAATGAAAAACTGGTGTTGGAGATTACTAATGCCCCAAGGCAAATCTTGGTCAGGTTGCTCAATAGTCCTTTACTGGAGAATTCTGTCTCTTACCAGATGCATGTGTATGACGGTACGCATAGATGGCACAGTTTGACACAGTAATTTAATGCATTTTCAGCCCTGTTCTGGACATGTCTTTGTGGTTTCCACAAGCACTTTATCTCTCTGTGTCTCTAGTCAGCTACAGAAAATGCAAGTTTATGTGAGATTCATTTAATCCGTTAACAGTGTTTGTATTTATCAGTCCTTTGGAACAGGCTAACACCTTTTTCCTTTCTCCTCCCTCTTTGTTTCTCTCAGCTAGAGGATGAAATTTCAACTTTGAGGCAAGTGTTAGCAGCCAAAGAAAAGCACCTGGTTGAAATTAAACAAAAGCTTGGCGTAAGTCTGATGAATGAGCTGAAACAGAACTTTAGCAAAAGCTGGCATGATGTGCAGACAACTTCTGCGTGAGTACAGACCTTACACAAATTCATACTTTTATGTTGTATACCATGTTGGGGGTGTTGACTTCATGAGCTCTGGTATGAAATTTAGTGGTTGAAATGCCTGTCTGAATGAGTAGATCATAGGGACAAACATGTAAAGCTTCTCAGAGCAAGGAGACCTGAAAAAAAGCCTTCCACAGCAGCAATATGCTTTGCTACTGTCTTGCGCCTCACTCTTGTAAAATAGCAGGGACTAAAACTGTTGTGGTCCTGAGAAGGTTACCTTTCTGTCCCATGACACATTCTTACAGAGTCCTGAAGGGATGTGTTGTATTTTTTCAACTTCCAAGGGAGGCAATGTACAAAAATAAATTTAAACCAAAGCATTAGTAACTGTTTAAAAAAACAGTACCACAATCTGAGTTATAAAGAATACTGACAGGCTCAGTTGATGTTTGACTCTTCAGTTCCTGCTTTTGGTTGTCCAAAAGGAACAAAAAGATGTGTTGGAGTAAGTTGAAACAAGGGGGCACAAAATCACAAAATGGAATATATAAACCTTTAGAATTAGATTTAAGTAATGTTAAGATTGATGGCTTTGTAACAGTAGCAATGGAAAATTACTGAGGTGCATGATACATAGAGGAAAAAAAATAGAGTACAGCTAGAGAACATACTGAGAATTCTCACAAGATAAATTGTTATAGTTGTGACATAGTTTAAGAAAAACAGCCTAGAAGAACAGGACACAGGGATAAGGAGTATCTGGGAATGGCAGGTGTCCAGGATGGGCTACAGTTAAACTAACTGATAGCTAGGAGGATAGGAGGATTATTATGTCTCTGGTGCTAACAAACCAATTAAACTGGTATGAGCATCTACTGCGTGTGCTTCAAAGGCTGCCAGAAGTGACGAAGATTGTTGGAAGAAGTAAATGACCCTCAGAGACCACCACCACAATTCTGTATGCATGCGGGGAACTTTCTGGAAAATCATGTAATCCATACATAGCCTCATGAATACGTATGTATGCCCAGTGGCTATCTAAGGACAACTTGTGTAGCAATAGGGGACACACGTTAGGAGGAGCTATCCCCTGTGTCTCCCGGCGCCGCAATAAAGAATACCTGCCTGTCAGCTTGAAACTTTGTTGGCAAGTTTGTTCGTGGAGTTTTCTCTGTATCAAACTGTACCATCTTTGAGGTTATCATAAGTTCTGTGTATTTGAGTTTTTATTATGTTTCAGCATTGTGTTCTTAGGCAGGTTCTGGAAGCCCCTCACAGCCTTGGTTTAGCACTGTGCAGAATGTGTAACTAGTTCACAAGAGTTCAATGAAATGCAGCTTTGAGTTCCCAGGGTGAAAGATAATGCGTAAATATGAAGAACTGTTAACTCCATTGCCATTGTTGCAGTGATCTTAACTTGAATTTTAAAATTTTTATATTTTTTTTTAATCAGACCAATTGTCCTGTGGAAGTCTAGTCCAACTCAGTTGCTGCCTTCAAGAAAGGTGCCTTATAAAAATGAGCCAGTTCTTGGATGAGGAAGCAGAGGAGGGAGGTTATTTAGGCTGCAGCTTGCTGCCAAGAACTACTGGTGCAAGCCTTTTGTCTCACGTAAGGAAGGAGTTAAAAATACACATATGGACATAGTGAGAAGACGTCTCCCAAATCTGCCACAAAAAAAAAAAGTCAAAAAAAAAGTCAAACCCAGGATAGGTAGTGTTACTCTTTGCTCTGTATCTGCTAGTGTCACCAAGAGAGGTGGCAAATAAAACTACAAACTCCAAAGCTCTAGGAAGGCAATAATAATTACTGAGGGGCTGGTCTCAGCTTCATACTGGGCTTTATGCTTACACATATGAACTTGCCATGTTCCTCCAAAACTATTTGGGCTGAATTAATAGCAACACTGGGAGAAAGAACCACCCACTTATCATCAAGTACTGTCTGAAAAGTTATAAGAGTATTAATAATTCCTTTTCTTTTCAATTGACAGCTGAATTTGGCACTTAGGGAGAAACAAGAGTGAGCTGCTGTACAGCAGAGCTGAGCTGGGATTTGACAGCGAGGCAGTCAGGGCAGTGGCATCATCTATGAAGAAGCAATCCCACAGTACCTGAGCAAAGGGAGCAGAGCAGGTCCAGCGACAGTAAACAAGGTCAAGCCAGGAGTTCAGATCTCCAGATAAGTCTGTAGTGATGAGCCAGGTTCAGGCTCAAGCCAGGAAGTCCAATATGTGAGTCAAGATCAGTGAGGTACCTGTCCCGATACAAGCACAGTGGTAACATAACCTGAGCAAAGACCAAGGACTTAAATGCAGTCTAAGCTTTAGTGTAGCTTGCAAATGGAGGTATGCCTAACAAGGCTTCTCATGCCTCTTTCTTGCCCAGCGCTGTCACCACAGTCTTGCCCAAAGTCACACAGTTGGGCTGTGTCAGAGCTGGCCCTGAGCCTAGGCAGCCAAACCCATGGGAGTGGGGGGAGAGGGGGAGAGTTTGCAGTGCCTCTTGGTGCACTCCAGGCCCTAACAGAGACTTGGAAAAAATAGGTAAAAATGTGCATTTTTTTCCATGAAAATAATCATTGTCTTTTAATGGGAAATCCAATAGGGCATGAACACCTTAATAGGAAACATAGTTTGTATGTCTCCTGTCTCTAACTTCTGGACAGTTTCTCAGCTGTGTCTTATTTCTCATGACATGCCATTAGCACTATCATCCATTCTGGCTCAGTGAAGATGTCTGGCATGTGCTAGGAGAGGACAGTCCAGATAGACTGAGCCTTAGAATAGACACCTGAACTAGTTACTTAGGAGTCACTAACAAAATGTTGACAGAAAAGCTTTTTTTTTTTACCTTCACAATGTTGACATTTTCCACAAGGACGGAGAGACTTAGGAGACATTATCAGAAAGGTAGTTGCTACTTTTTATTTAAAGACAGGTTTCAAAACTAAGAAGCCATTAGGCAATGAGCATTCACAAGTAGTTATGTGGAACTGAGCAGCAGAAGTCCATTTGTGCCCTTGAAAACCCTGATGTCCATGATCCAGTTGCTATATAATTCTGGCTGATGCTCATGCCAGTACACTGATGCCAGTACAGATCATGGTAATCCAGCATTCTTCAGAATGGATGTGTTAAGTAATAGAGGTGATTCATTGTTGCTGCACCAAAATAGAAATGGAATAGCATTACTCACCAAGACTCTCTGATTTAGTAAGGATGAAAAGCCAGTTTTAAAAAATAAAAGTTCAAAATATTTACATGCCTGTACTTTAGGTTTCTAAATCCACAATTAGTCATTTTAGATTTTAAAAAGACCTGTTTCTAAGGAGGCAGATTTTGCTTTCATGCATTCTTCTGGGGTTTGTAGCTGCTGTGCTTTCCTGGAAGTTAAGCCCACTTTCCTTTAATGGGGAACTTTTCAAAGCCACAGAGAACAAGCACCAAATTTTTGTCCTCTTATTGTTAAAACTATTTTTAAGATCTCCATTTAGGGACACTTTCTTAGGGTTAAAGTGGACTTGGAGGCAGAGGGCTGAACTTCTCTCAGGAACAGTAAGGTATGTTTGAACAACTAGTTAAGACTCATGACCTGACTCACAGGATGGATGCCACCTGGAGTGACTAAATTTAAACTTGAGATTTTGACTATGAAACTTTTAATTTTAAATGGCTGGCCACAGGTAGTTTAGGAGTTAGTCTGAGCAGGATTAACATGTACATGATTGTCATTGAAGAATCCCTATTACTAAAAAGGAAGAAAAGATAACAGTTTTCATAGTGAGGAAAGCTAGAGCTGGAAGTTAGTGGACTGATGTTCTCCATAAATGGAAGATTCTGTCAGGCTCAACATAAAGTTCTGTACAAAGTCCGTTTCCTTGTTATTAATTCATGCTTTAAGGTATGAAAAATCAGTTTAACTACCTGCAGTAAGATATTACTGTTGCAAATGTAATGTGGAGCTTCTAATGTATCAAATCAGCTTTTTTATCAGTTTTGTTTTTCTCTAAATAAAACCTGTAATGTTGTTTGCATTTTTCAGCCTTGTATGGAAGTCATTCATTTATGGTGATGACCAGAATCATGATGCATTTTTCACATTCCTTGTTCATTTCCTCTGCTATTCTTCAGTGCACTGATTTTCAGTATAATCACTGTGTTGGGGAAGACAGGGGTTCTACTATAGAAGATATCAGTAACTAGAGAGCAAACGATTGCCTTAAGTTTAATTTGCTTTCATGGTGGTAAGGCATTCAACTGGAATGACTTCCCACACACACCTTTTTTAAAGATCAGGTTTCCAGTGAACAGAGGTGGGTGGATATTCAGATAGCTTCTAGCAAAGCAGGTTTTTTATTTGTATTTTAAACACAGGTAATTCATTCTTATTTAGATGCTGGAAGCAGGGTATTGTTGGTGGATTTCAAGGTTATTTATTTTAGTTTAAGGAATCATAAAAAATGTCTTTACAGGGATATTTACAAAGACCATAATTCAGCTTTTCTAATTAACATTTTGCAACAAAGGAAAGGTTTTATGTAACCTGAATGCAGTATGTTTATGTAGTTAATGCTGCTTGATTGGCGGTGCTCTTTCTAGCTTTCTGTACTTCAGATTTTCACTGTATAGCACATTAAGGTAAGAAGATGGCTTCTATAAAGATTGACCTAGTTTTATACAGTGTCACAGTATCACTGAGGTTGACAGCATTGTCAGCAGACTGTCTAGTCCAACTTTCAAAGCAGGGTGAGCTAAAGCAAGGTGGTCAGGACTATGCCCAGTCAGATTTTTAACATCTCCAAGAATGAAGACTCTAGAGCCTCTAGGGCAACACATTCCAGTGTTTAGTTGCCCTTACTGTGAAAAACCTTTTTCATTTGTTTAAATATTTCCTGACTTCAGTTAGTGCCCATTGCCTCTTGCACTTTCACCAGATACCACTAGCCTTTGCTAAGCATGTATGTCATAATCATGCTCAGCTTTGGCTGTCCCTCAGCTCTTAATGTGGTGCTCT